CTATCACACCAAATTCCTACCTTAATATCTATCTGCTTTGGGGCCGGCAAGTGACATGGTGCTTGGGGCACTGGACTCCCACATGGCCGATCACAGTTCAAGTCCTCAACCTGGTGGCTTGCTTTCTCACTCTCCCTTTCTCTCTGTGCCATGTTTAATCTCTGCACCATGGCCAATCACAGTTCAAGTCCTCAACCTGGTGTCTTGCTTTCTCACTCTCCGTTTCTCTCTGCCTATCTCTCACTGGTCAAAAACTGAAGAATAATGATAATAAATAAAATTTAAAATACGTAATCTTTAAAATAGAAATATATATCTATCTGCCTCAGTTACCCACTCTAGCAAACAAATATGAACACTTTACTATTCTGTGTGCTTTTTGAAGGGAGGGGCCATTGCTTACAGCTGCACAGGTTGTGTACCACACAGCTTCAGGGTACAGAACACTGTCTATCACTGTCCATACAGACCACAGCGGTATGTGGTGGCATTTCTAAAAGCTAAAGTTGATCAAAACCTGGACAGTCTCTTCTCATTTGGATGTCAAAAGCAGCTTCACTACTTCAGTCAAGAGTATTTTGCTACTTAACAATCTTGATCCAAGCAGGCACTCAAGGACAAACACCATGTCTACCAGGTCTTAAGTCAATGGCATTCCATTTATAGGCGGTGAAGGCAAGCACCTCCATCTTGAAGGCCTCTTGACATACACTTTGTAAAAGTTTAAGAAAGCAACAAACATGCTTTCAGTGATCATACTCAGAGCACCTTTATAAAAAGAATACACCCTTATATTACTACACATAGAATAGATGTGCTTTTACAGTATTTCCCTGGGTTGCTCACAGGTTAGATACTGAATATGGTACTGGTATACAAAGAAGGAGCTGGATCCTTCTGGAAGGCTGCAACCAGTCTGTACATAACTCCATACCCACTTCCCCAGGGTCTTTGCAGAAGCCCTGCCATGATGGCCATCATGGCCTGAAGGACTCTTGAGCACTACAGCTTTGGGACATCCCTCCATTGGGAGCCTCTGCTACTAAGAGCAATGGAGGCTGCCTCTGCTATTGACTAAGAGGCACACTAGCCTGGCAGTGCCACTGCCTTAGCAAAACCCTGCTTAGAAGTCTAACTTTCCATACTTGACCTTTCAACACCACCACTTCAGCAGGCAGGAATGAAACAAACCATAGTTGCAGATAGGTGTCCTTCAAGAGAAACATGCCAGGGCTCTCTTTGATGAAGGTGCTATAACTCTCTGAACTGCCTGCTGTGGACTGACCCTCGATCTACTGTGCAATAGGACTGAAGCCACAGTGGAAGTACCAGGAGGTAAGCATCTGATGCCCATTGTGTCCTGTATTTTTTTTTCTTCAGTATTTTACTTTTTTATTTTCTTTAATTGACAGTGGGAGTACATACTTTCCAGAGAGAAAGTATCCCCCCTAAAAAGTGTGTGGTAATGCTCTATCCTTTTTGCTCCATTCCTTCTTCCTGTGAGGATTTTGATCATGCATGTGCACACCCCACTGTGTTTTTTAAGCCCCTGGGATTGGGATTCATACTGCTGTTATCCAAGTTGGATCCAGCTCCCTTAACTACTGCAGTAAAGAGCTGGCCCCTATTTTATTTTTCTTTTTATTTGAACATATAATTTGAGGCTGGTCCCATGATGCAGAGATTAAGCATGGCACAGAGGAAGCCAGATCTAACTTGACTGAGGGCTCAAGTCCTGGCCCTGGAGACTTGAAAAACATGCTAGGCATGTGTATATGTACTCAGGATCCTCACAGAATGGAAAAATGGAGGAAAAAGGATTGTGGCATAACCAGGCCTCTTTGGAAGGTTTTCTTTCTCTGTCTCTCTCTCTCTCTTTCCTACCTCTTGTGCATACACATGTGCTCTCTGGCATTAAAATGTATGCATTATTTGAAGGAAAAGGAATCTTTGCACATATCCTTTTCTGGCATAACTAAGCTCCATACTGGTTTTCAAGTCAGAGAGATTTATTTTTTCTTTTCTTTTTGCCCTTAAACATTTTCTTATTGAGATATAATTTGCATACTATAAAGTTTGTCCTTTTAAACTGTACACTTGAGTAGTTTTCAGAATATCCACAGAGTTGTGCAACTGTCACTGCTATCTAATTTCAGAACATTTTCATCACCTCAGGAAGAAATTGAAGTTTATTTTAAATTACTCTTTTTCCCAGACCCTTTTTTAACCTTAGGCTGCTGACCACTTTGTTTTTCCAGAGGTCACCAAATGCCCAAGATATTCTTACATTGACCTAACTCAATGTAAAATGTCAGACTGTTGGCCAAAATGGGTAAACTCTTACCAGCAATCATCCTCCATGGAAACTGTTAGATAAAACACCCCTGAAGCCAAGAGAAGCTCCAGAAATAAACTTAAGAAATCCCTTGCTCAGGATACTTTACAATAACATGCAAGATCACTGGAAAAAGCAGCATTAAAAAAAATACACCTGGGGCTAGCCTGTGGCATGGTGGTTAAGGGAGTTGGATCCCATAGATCTAGCTGCATGGTTCGAGTCCTGGACTTAATACCTTGAAAAACACTTCAGGCACATGTGCATGCATGCCCAGAGAACGAAGGAGAAGATACTGCAGTGTTATCATTTCCTAAGGGGGATGCTTCCTCACTTTCCCTCTCTCTCTCTCTGTTTCTCTCCCTACCCTCTGGCCAAAAAAAAAAAAAACAAAAAAAAAAAAAAAGTAAAAAAGAAAAGAAATCCTGGAAAGAGAGTCAGAAGACCTAAACTCCAAGCCCTTCTACTTCTCACTTTCTCTGCATCATCTTGTTATCTTGTTCAAGCTATTGAACTCCTCTGGGCCTTCATTCACCCACATTCACTAGAAATATTTCAGTAAATAAACAAACATAGAAATCAAGGAGAAACAGTGAATGGAACTTTCCAAAAGCCTGTGATAAATGCACATTTCAAAAAGGTAGGAGGGAACTTAGTAGGTTCTTAAATGTTTATTGGGTGGCACTGCCTGGCTACATGAAGGAGTGACAAGAGGCAGGATTGAAAGGCTGCTGACCAGCAGTATGAATAAGTAGAAACTGCTTGGGTGAGCAGTAAGACTTCTAACCTTAGAATCTACTATCTCATAGAGAATGGCTTTCAAAAATGACAGTGGAGAGGACACTCCCAACAGTAAACTTTAGTTATGAGATGTCACCAGGTGATGGGAGTGGGCAGACAATAGCAGATAAGCCTCAGCGTGGACAAGCAAAGAGTAATGCATTAAAAAAATTGACAATTCAAATGATACTACAGGTTCAGATATATCATACACAACCTGGAAACATTACCCCCCAGTCAACAGTTACCTAAGGATATTGGTTCAAATAATCTGAATAGCTAAAAACACCAACAGACAGCGGTCATCATTTTGAGCACAGGACGAGAGAAGAAGCTTTAGAAATAATCCTGAACACATTTCTCATTTTACAGAGGAGAAGACAAGACTCTGAGGGTCTAGGCAACACCTTAGGCACAGCAAGTGGCCAATAAACAGTTTAGACCTAGCCCCAGTGCTGCAGTGGTAACACAAGTGGCCTGCAAGGCTGGAAGCCATATGGTCAACCACTGTTTCGATCTCTGGTAGGCCAGGTGCATGTGGGTGCACAGGAGTCTGAGGAGTGGAGAACTGGAGAATGGGAATCATAGCGTACAAGATCTAGTAGAGCGTGCTTGTCCCCCTCTTTTTCTTCCCTTCTTTTCTCCCTCCCTTTCTCTCATTAAAAAACAAAACAGACAAAAAAGCCATTAGTTTTAAAAAGAAAGACCTTAAGGTCACTCACAAAGGAAGCCAAGAGACATTCCAATCCTTTATCGTCATTGCTCTTTTGACTACACTCCACTAAGCCAGAGGAACATGACCAAAGTCACAATTTTGATAATGTTTTGTCCTTCAAAGGTTCAAGTTTTTTAATTTGGATGTGCCCAAAAATTCATGGATTGGGACTTAACTGTATTGTAAGGGTGTTAAGTGACAACTTAATTCCTTCATGGAATTAAGGGTGAGGCCTTTGGGTGTGATAAGGCCACTAGAGTGCAACCCCTATGAAGAGTTCTACTGGGTCTATAAGCAAGGGAAGGAGACCAGACAGAGATGCAGAAACTTGTGGGTAGACTGCTCTGCTCAAGAGCCTGCCCCTGTCATGTTATAGCCTCACTAGAAGATGGACCCTGGGCCCTGAACCCCCCAAACCCTGAGCTGAATAAACCTCTATTTCTTTATAAAATCACCCAGTCTTGGGTACTTCTGTTAGCAACACAATAGGCTAAGACAACCAATAAAGTGCATTTTATTTTCAGCCATGCTGTACACAGATATTACTGTTTTATCTTTGGTATCAACTTTAAAGTCTCTCAAAGTTAAAACAAACAAACAAACAACAACAACAAAAAAACAACATACAACAGAATAGAGCATTACAGGCAACTCCCAAATCCGAAAGGCAACAATAGAGTAACTGAGGCAGCAGACAAGTTCTAAAATAGAATTGGGTGGTCTAGAATTTTGAAGAGTACAAGGTCACATATAATAATCAAGTTTTATAAATACTGTCAGCTAAAAATAGGGTGAATTTGACTTTTTTACCAAATCCTTTAGCGCTGGAATTGAAGAGCAATTCTGGATGACTGGAGAAGAAATTTTAGAACAGCTCAAACAAGTACTAGCTTAGTAGACTGGTAATAAACCTGCTTGGTGTACATCTGAGTTTGCACCAGAGGAAAATAACAGACAGCAAAATTCAAGAAGGGATAAGAATAAATTCCTGGGCACTAAATCTATAATGAGTTATGTAGAGCAGTTTCAAATATGTGAGTCATTCTTAACCTTTGAGTTTGATATCCCGGAAGGCGGCCATATTCTCCTATGAAATGTCTCTCAGAGATGTGCCCACAGGGGTTGGAACAGTATAAAACAGAGTAACAACTGAGGGGCAAGGGGCCTTACCTGTGGCATGAGAGGCGAACACCAGGAGCACCACACTAAAAAAGACACAGCAAAGCAGTCAAAAAAGCATTTCTTGTACCAAAAAATACCACACAAAAAAAACCACGCTTTAAGTTTCTACCTATTCTGAAGACTTGGAAATAGTTGAATCTGCCTAAAAGCAAAGTACTTACACCAAATAGTCTCATTCTGCCTAAACCCAACTCCACAGAGAAAGTGAGCATCTCTTAAAATGCCTCATGTCTTGGGGGACCTGGTGATTAAGGCAGCTGGATCCTTCATGGCCAACTGTGCAGTTCGAGTTCTGGACCCAGAGGCCTGAAACACATGCCAGGCATGTGATCATGCATGCCTAAAATCCTGAAAGGAAAGGGAGATGGTAGAGAAGAAATTGCAGCATGACCATGTCCAATGAGGGATGTTTTATCACTTCCTCTCTCTTTGTTTCCCTCTAGTGCTCTTACAAGCCCTCTGGCAAATTAAAACAGGAAAAAGAAAAAGAAAAGAAAGAAATGCCTCAAATAAATTTTAAAAGAAAGAAAGAAAGGCCTCATGTTTTGACAAGAAGATTGAGTCCATCCCTTGGAACAGGCTGAAAATCCAGCTCCCACCTGAGGGTCAGTTCCTCACGTTCTTGGTCCTGGTTGACCTAACTGTTATCACTCTCACCTAATATACTGACGGTATTTATAAACTAAATAAAGCAAACTCCAAATTTTAAGTAAGTTGCAATCTAAAGGCCAGCTGTTGAATGTGAGCTAAGTATACTTTTGCAAAATACTTTATACAAAATTAATTGTGTAGAAGGTACTTCAATTTCCAAAAAGAGGGGGCCAGGTGGTAGCACATTGGTAAAACAGGGCATTCTGCAAGGCTGATTCACATGGGAAAGTTCCAGATTAACATCTGGAGACCTCCCTGAACATGCTGTACATGCAAGTGCCTAAGATCAAGGGCTGGCTGAGGCTGAAAATGGATCAGGGCATCAAGAACTTGTTGGGGATGCTGTCTCTCCTTTTCTCTATCTGTCTCTCTCACTCATGAAAGAAATAAACTTTCTTTCTCAGAGAGGTGTGTGAATTTGCCAGAAAGAAAGAGAGAGAGAGAGAGACAGAAAGCGAGAAATCACCCCCCAGGGGGGATGGCCACACCTCAATCCCTTCTCCTCCATTCTCTTCTCGGGATCTTAGGCATGCACACACACGCGCCCAGCGTGAGTTTAAGCCACCAGGTCCGGGACTTGAACCATGGTCGACTACATGGGAGTTCAGCGACACAGCCATTATGCTAACTGCTGGTCCCGAAATAAACGTTTTTTTTTTTTTTTTTTTTGAGAGAGGCTTTTGCGATAAGAGGCATGCGCTCGCCAGAAAGACAGAGAGACAGAAAGCGAGAAATCACTCCCCAGGGGGGATGGCCATGCCGCAATCCCTTCTCCTCCATTCTCCTCTCAGGATCTTGGGCTTGGGCACAGTATGAGCCACCAAGTCTGGAACTCAAACCGCGGTCAACTACATGGAAGTCTAGCAACATGGCCATTACGCTAACTGCTGCTCCTAAAATAAATAAAACTTTTGATGGCATAATGGTTACGGTGCTATACTCCCACATAGTCAACTGTGGTTCAAGTACCAGACCCAGCAGCTTAGAACTCATGCTAGGTGTGTATATGTGCATGCCTAAAATCCCAAAAGGAGAATGGAAAAGAAGGGATTGTGACATGGTGATCCCTTCTTAGGGGGTGATTTCTCACTTTCTGTCTCTCTGTTTTTCTCAGTCTCTCCAGTGAGCTCATGTGTCCTATAGCAAAAATCTCAAAAAAAAAAAAAAAATTTTTTTTTTCTAAAATGCTAGCCACAGATTGATTCATGCCATCACTGTGTAGCTGAACACCACCTGGACTGATGTTCAATGAGTGCTAGTGTGAGGAAGGATGAAGGGGAAATGAGAAGGAGCATTCCTCTGATACTACCTCCCACCTTCCTCTCTGGAACACTCTCTCATCTCCCAGGGCCCCTCTGCATGCCTACATGTTCTGCAAAGCCCGCTGCAGTGGGTCAAATTCCCCACTTTCTGCTCCTTTCTCTGTCAACACCACACCAGCTGATCTCCTTAAAGGTTTGGAATAAAACTGGCTATCTAAGTATAGGAGGGAAATCTTTTAAAGTGCTGATGGCCCACTCCGGTTCTAAATTGTGCTGCACATCAGAACAGCCCCACTGCCTGGCTTAAATCAGTATCTCTGGAATCCAGGCATCAGTCGCTTTTCTCTGTTACGACCCAAGTAGTTTTAATGTGTCCCAGACTGAGAACAACCTCCGGGAGTCTCTAGTTGGGAGTGACATTATAGGCACCATGAAGGAAGTGGGCTGTGAGCAGCGAAGCCACTGGGATTTGGCCAGTCCTGTCCCACTCCTGCGGGTACCTCCCTGCACCATTTCTGTTTTTTTCTCAGGCTTTTCCTCTGCTCTGCTTCTAAAGCACAAGTTCTCTGATGGCCCTCAGGATAGCAGCAATATGGACAGAGGCAGGAGGAAAGGAGGCTCTAGAGAAAGCCTACGGAGAAGAGCCACATGTCCTGGCAATCAGAAGCTGTGGGACTGTAGGCAGGGTTTACTTGCAGTTGTAAAAAATACACACAGTACAGAAGAGAGTGCAAGGATTAGGACATACAAGGGCTCCATTAGTCTTTGCTCGCCTTTCTTTGCTCTCATCTTTCTTTGGAAAGCGCTTGCCCTCTGATACTCCATCACTCTATGCCCCAGGATCCCCTTTAGCTTATAACTTCAGGATCAGAAGTTTTTACTCCTATGACAGGATAAGAGGGGCTTCTTTATACCCCTAAATATCTCCCAGGGTCTGCCATGGTACCCCAAATTCCATCATAGAAGTCATCCCAAAGGATAAGCCTGAAATAAATTAGGGGGCAGAAATAAAGAGAAATAATTAAATGAAATAGCTGGTTCTCTAATCCCTGTTTGAATCTGGTTGTTAGTGTCTGGTTAGTTGGATCCTGGCGTTAAGTCACTCGAAATTTCTTTTTCTTTTTAAAAATTAATTATTTATTTTCAACTTTTTTCATGTGTGCTCACTAGAGAGTGACAGAGGGGGAGGGGAGGGGGGGAGAGAGAGGGAGAATGGGAGAAAGCAAGCCACCAGGTCTGAGACTCAAATCACGGTCAGCCATGAGGGAGTCCAACAACTTAACCACCACGCCACTTGCTGGCTCCACTCCTAATTTCTACTTGGTAACCTCCTTGGGGGCAAGAACCGTGTCTTACTCATCTCTCGGTCAAATGTGCCTAGCAGCAGACACTGACTATGTTTTCTGAATGCAGTTAATCACCTGTAGAAATGGTGGGATATGTTTGAAGAGAAGCATAACTGAAGCCCACTACAGTTCTAAGATTATAAATTATATATAAACTCTAATGAGGGAATGAATATAGACTACTATAAAAAGGCATATAATGCCAGTAGAGAACATGTTTTTTACTTCATTCATTCAATAAACATTTATCAAGTGTCTAATACAAAGAGTCTTCAAAAATGTCATGGAAAATGCACATTATGAGAAAACTATGAATGAATTTCAAATCTTTTTGCACCAAAATAAACTTTCCACAAACTTCCTGAAGTACCCTCATATATGGCAGGTACTATTCTAGCATCTGGGAATATTGCAGTGAGCAAAATAGAAAACATTTCTATGCTCACAGGAAATAAAATGGAAAATACTGCCTCTCCATCGTAAGCTCCAATATGTAGGGTTTTTTTTTTTTTTTTTTAGTTTCCCTGCATTTTACTCTAGAAAGAATACCTGTCTATTTCTTTTTGACATACAAAAACCTCACATGCAAAATAAGGAAGTGGGGCATGAATAAGTAATATCATGGTAATTTTCTATTTAATAGACTGGAAAAGACTAGAGTCTGCCTCATATTAAAATGGTACTACAAGTACATTCCATAAAATTCATTCCTTATACAGTACCTAAATTCCCCAAGATGAAGATCAAAGCAGTATCTAATTTTAGAAGCTGCAATTATTTTCAGCCCCATATACAACCTTTCCTTTTATTCTTCCTTTCATCCTTTCCCCCCACCTTGAGCTTTATATGTCTATCTGTATTAGGAACACCACAAAGCCAAGGTCAGGGGGCAAACACAGACTCTCGGAAACAGGAGTGTGTGCCAAAGGAAGAGAACCATCCAACCACTTGCTACTTGCCTCTCTCAAAAGACTGAACGATGGCCCAGCAGTGGTGGTGCAAGCTGAAGGGCCCCATGGAATGATGGCAGAGGTGGCATGAAAGACCTGGTTTTGGTTCCAGGCCCAACCTAAAGAGGCTGAGAGCAGTGCCCAGCCTGTGGCCCTAACTGCCAGAGATGCTGAGACAAAAAGGACTGCTGTATAGCAAAAATACTCATCTTCCTCATTAAAAACAAAAACAAAAACAAAAACAAACCCTGAGAAATCAAACCAACCTTTTTGCTCTAGAAGGCACTAGTTCCAACTGGCACACACAACCATGAACCTGAATAGAATGCCGGTTTCTTCATTCCAATTTTCTTAGCATACACTGCCAGTGGGAAACTGAATCATGGCCCTCATTTGGATTCACTTGTATTGGAAGAAAAGACCAGAAGCAGAATGATGGCATTGGTGGGGTGTGCCACAGCCTCAGCCAGGAAGCTGCCAGTATCAGGCTCCCAGGCAGCAAATACCCTCACAGCAGGTGGGCATGTTGGCATGGAGCAGATGGGCCAGGAGAACTTGCTGTGGGTTATGGGGAGCTCATCTCTCCATAGCACCTCCTTTCCTACTCCACCTGGCTATACTCTTTTGGGGAAAGAAGAACTGCTTTAAAGTGGTCCAAGGTCATGGCAAAATTTTAAACATCAACAGTCTTCTGTGTTTCCAGAAAAGTCTTCTGAAAACCAGCTGAGGCCAGCCCAGTCCAAAATCCCAAAAGGAGGTAGAAACGGAGGAGCAGAGATTGCAACATGACCATTCCCATGGGGAATGCTTTTTCACTTTCCATCTCTCTCTCTCTCTTTCTGTGTGTGTGTGTGTGTGTGTGTGTGTGTGTTTCTCCAGTGGGGACATGCACTTTCTGGCAAAGGAAGAAAGATGAAGGGAAGGGAAGGGAAAGGGAGGGGAGGGGAGGGCAAGCTGAAAGGTCAGCAGAGCGGAACTAATGATTGTTTTCAGCTGAGTACAAAGACAGCCCATAGCCATACTTAGGGTGTACTTTCTTTCAGAAAGGCATTTTAATAAATACTAGGATATTTATTAGCTTCATCTGCAAAAAGAGAATACAGCTCACAGTGAACATTTTTAGCCAAGTAACATCCTCCAGAAATCAGCACGACCAGATGCGAGGTGTATCTCCAACTTAATCCTCATTTTGCGAAGTCAGAAAGTCACTGCATCGGCAAACTTGGGTTTCGAACAAGTCTCACTTTGTTTCTCAAACAGGTCCCTGCAGTGCACAGCCTGAGACTAGGAATATCCGAGAACAATGCCCAGCTCTTCCAGTGAGCAGGCCAAGCCCACTCCCTGCTTGGCTTCAGGCAATAGTACAAACAGAAGTCGGTAAACCATATTTCATAGTTGTAACTCAAGCCTCAAACTTGAACCTACCTTAACAAAAAACACCTTCAAAACAACTGAAGTCCAGACTGGAATTCAGAACTCTTGGATATCTTTGAGCATCAAGTTGGAATGTGGCTGTATGGCGAGATCTGGCCTCTGGCCCTGGCTGCCAAGCCACTGTTTCTCTTTCTACCCCAGCCTCCATCCTGTACTCCAGGGCCAAAAGGGCACCTTTTATCTATACCCCTTCTCATGGAGAGCCTCTTTAGACATCCTTTTGATCTAGGAATAAGTTGTACAGACAGCTACCCAAGGAGGTCCTGGATTCAAACTCAAGGAGTTGGGTAGGGGATTCTAGAGCACAGTCTAAGGTACCTGGGGCCTCTGGGATGGAACATCCCTTACCCTTACAGATGCCATGAGGAGTGTGGCCCTCTGAAGGATAGGTCCAGACAGAGGCATCTCTTACTGGTCTAAGGGCAAGACTACTATTGGTTTCTTCAGTTCTGGTCATCTCAAACACTATTTAACTGGCCTTTCTGGAGGCACATTGGCTCAGAACTTGTTCATCAAAATATTGATTATTTTAATGAATAAGTTAATAAAAATAAAAAACTAGTGCTAAAAAATTAAAAATTCATTAGCTTTAGAAGGATATGCATTGTTCTTTAAAAATGTAAGTTACATCTTACCTGAACATATAGTTTAAGTACTGCTGGTCAGTATCACTAAGGAATAAGAGACAGGAAAGGATGAAACATACGGAACAATAGAAGCACTTTAAATATATCGAATAATCATTATCCTCTATTAATAAATTCTATCTCTACGTATGTGAGAAGCCTTCAAAAAGTTCATGGAAAATATGTATTCTGAGAAAATTACACACGATTTCAAAATTATTTTGTACCAAAATAAGCATATACGTCAACTCCACTTTCCATGAACTTTTTGAAGTCCCCACATATAAGTTACTACTTTTGTAATTTGACATTAAGTAAGACAAAGAGTACTATATACTCAAAATCAGTTCCTGGTTCATTTTAAAAGGTTATTTCCAGGGACTAGCAGATGGCGTACTGGTTAAGTCACTGTACTCCCACACAGTTGACTGCAGTTCGAGTCCTGGACCAGGTGGCTTAAAACTCGTGCCAGGCATGTGCACATGCATGCCCAAAATCCTGAGAGGAGCATGGAGGAGAAGGGATTGTGACATGGCCACCCCCTGAGAGGTGACTTCTTGCTTTCTGTCTCTCTGGTGAGTACACACACCCTATCTCTTAAAAAGTTATTTCCATGCCAGCTGGTAGTTTGGTGGTGAGGGTGGCTAGATTCCACATGCCCAGCTGTGTGGTTCAAGTCCTAGGCCTGGCAGCTTAAAAAAACCAAACCAGCATGTGTACCTAGAATCCTGAGAGGAGAGCGGAGGAGAAGGGAATGCAACGGGATCATCCCTCCTGGGGAATGCTATCTTACATTTCCCTTCTCTTTTTCTCTCTCTGACAAACACTTGTGTACTAAGGTATTAAAAAAAAATTTTCCTAGTTGAGTACCGGCACCCACATTTTTACCTATGGTCAAGTTTTTCTCTATGTACACTTGCTACTTTCAAAGGAGGATCCACTATTATAGCTCAGACGACTGGACTGGCTTCTAGAGTTTCCATATTTAACAAATGAGAATTCAGGCCACCCAAATAAATTTGAAGTGCAGATAAAGAATAATGTTTTAGTGTAAGTATGAAGGTCTTCAAAAAGTTCATACAAAATGTGTATTGTTTTTAAAACTGCATGGATTTTTTTAAATTTGGGGGGTCAAAACAAACTTTTTTTTTAAGGTTTTTGCCATAGGTTGTGTGCATTTACCACAGACAGACAGAAAGACAGAGACAGGGAAAGTAAGAAACCACCCGCCAGGGAGAATAGCCACACTACAATCTCTTCTTCTCCGGGGATTCTGCACATACGCACATACCAGGCAGGCGTTTCAAGCTGCTGAGTCCAGGACTTTAATTCCAGTGGGAGTTCAGCACCTTAACCACCACCAGGCCACCTGCCGGCCTCCAAACTCATATTTTAATCCCATTTTTTCACAAACTTTTGAAGTCCCCTCACATGTTCCAAATATTGCACGGATGCATTTAACTAAAAAAACTATTCACTGCTTATCTGAAATTCTAATTTAACTGCGCATCCTGTATTTTATCTGGCAACTCTCCTGGCTTCTTGTTACAAAAACACTTTATTAAAAGAACAAAAGGTGCTCTCAGGAGTGATAGCCGCACATTCCAGAGCGTCTGACCTTCTTCCCGGAGTTTTCCCTTCAGACCTTCAGGTGACCCCCAACCCAGTCTAGGCATGCTGACCTCGAAGCTCCAGCTCCCACTTCACTCTGTGAGGCCTGGCTTCTCATCCCTTTCATCTACATTCACCCAGCCTGTTCCACTGACTGCCTGCAACAAAAGCCTCGTTTGCAACAGCACACAGCTGGTACCTGAGGAGACGGCTGGGTCTAGCCTGACTCAAATTAGGAAGGGGCTGGGGAAACAAGAAGAAAGAGCTGTCCCTCTGAGTTGCAGGTAGTCAGTTGGAGCCCACAGCAGCTGATCACTAAAATGATGTCATTAAAATGTCAGCCAAATGGCTGCTCTTGAAGGAAGGGTGTGAGAGTTCCACACTTCCCACACATGGCCGAAGTATGGTGACCCCAGCCTGGAGTAGCCACCTGGAGAGGAGTGATGGTCACGTCTGCTGCCCTCACAGCAACACAGAGGGTCTGGATGAATGGAAGAATCCCAGGATACCTGGCTCTTGATCTTTCCTTAACCACGTGACAATGCACTAGACATTAGGAGCTTACCTTAATGTGCTGGGTTTCTGGGACTTCTGCAGGATTTTATAAGCCCCTGGAAAGGAAACATGTATTACTGGTATATGGCACTTTGCCTAAGGACTGCCTGCACTTCCAGGGAAGCACGAAACCCCATAATAAAGATCCCAAGGTGTAGCTGCTGGTCTCCTTTTCCCTAC